AACAGCCGTTAGTTGATTTTGTAACTGCGCCAACTGTCGGGTGAGGGCCTCAATTTGGGAGAGGTCCATGGCAACGGTACTAGAGCTAGAGGCAATAACGCGACCACTACGCAATTGCATACACGGTAACACAAGCTAGGTGAAGTGCCTACTGAGATCAACAACCAACGAGTGCCAACAAGGGAAATAGTGATTGAAATTTTCTATTGTTACTATTATTATTTTATTTTATTTGTTAACAAAAATTGGGATTACGTATGGTCCGATCGCAAGCTAATAATACTAATGCAAATAAAATAAAAGCAAAGGTACAAATGATAGGCTTAGTCACGTGTGGTAAACGAGAAAGCAATAGGAGTTAGTTCGTGAATTTCAATTAGATTTAAGGCAAAAATTATCAAAGGGCTAGCACACAAAGAATTAACTTATGCAATTCTAAAACAAAGAAATAGTGTCAACTAAAATAGATAGGAGCAGGAACTCCCTGAGTTTAGTTGGTTTAAGTCGTCCCAGCGTCAAATGTCTCCACTTTCTGAACTATTAAGCTCTGAAATGCCAAGACAGAAAATTCTGTGTTGGTCGAGGTGTGGTACTGATCAGTCAACTAAAATAAACCTGTAAAATAATGTCAGAAAATTCTTAAAATTCTCTCTCTTTTTTTTTTTTTTAAATAATACAAATCAAATAAACCTTATGTAAATGAAACACTAGGGACTAATTGAGGTTCAAAATGAAATAAAAGCACTAAAACACAACAAAACTTTAAAAATAACCACCGTTTTCCCCAGACTTCGACCCACTGCTTTGGCCACAGGCGTGCGAGTCATCTCAATGCACCGTCAACAGTAGCGGGAGTGGCTCAGTGGTGCAAGGAGAGTCGGGGCGCTGCAATATCGCCAGTCAGAAGACAGTGTACTGTTGCTGCTTCGATCTCGATGAGGAGTTGGTAGTGGCAGGAATGGCTACTAGTGACAAATGCGCCGCGGAAGGATCTGAAGGCGAAGCTGGCGTTGCTTAGGGTCGCAAAGGCCACTGCCGGTGGTTGGTGTGGCGGCACTGGTTACGAGTGGTATTGACGAACACGAGGTGGGGCTTCTGGGTGTTGCGAGCGACGCGGCAGTGAATGAAGGTACTATGGCGGCAGTTTGAATTGGGTTTTAGTGGGATGGGAGGCTTGGGTCACGGTTGGCGGCGGCTCAGAATTCAGTTGAATGGAGATTGGGTCGCGTTGTGGATTTGGTTTGGTTAATATTGGCAGTGTGTTAGTTTGTTGACAGGAACATACACAGAGACGATGGAGGTAGTGACTGGGTTTTGTAGCAAACTGGGTGTTGTTGTGGAGGAATCCAGGTTTAGCTCTGATACCACTTTGATGCAGGGTGAATAACTCAATAATAAGAATAACAAGAAGGGATGAGGGGAGGGAGAAACATAGAGACAGGGGAAAGAAGAAGAGGGGAAAGAATGGGGCTATAGCCAAGTTTATTCAATCAATTCACTAACTACAATTACAATGTAAAAATAGGTTTAATTACTGAAAATACTGAAAACCTAAAAAACCTGAAAGATAGGGCCAAGCCCATTAGACAAGTCCATAAAAATAAAATAACCCAAGTCCAACTAATAAATAAAAGTCCAACTAAAATAATTAAGGGCCCGTTTGGTAGGGATTTTGAGAATTGATTTTTTGACCGTTAGAAGAAAAGTGGGGTCCACATGTGAGAGAAGAAGTCAAAAATTACGGCTTGAATAGTAAAATAACGGTCAAAAAATCAATTTTTTGGGGCAAAAAATCCCTACCAAACGGGCCTTAAATGTCGTCCAACTAAAATAATAAAACTGGGATGTCCTCATCAGCCTTGAGTTCATAAAAGCATTTCAAACAAGACATGAAACAATAACAAAATTTAAGATAGCATTATAAAAACAAAGTGATACCAACAATCTAAACAAAGATAAAATAAGATGCCTCTTCCAACGAGGCTTTAAGCATTGCTAAGTGGCAGACGCAAGGCAAGAGAACCTAGGTCCGCATTCCACGTCATTCGGCATATGTGGCAATTGGCCGAACCGTCGTGAATGAGCCGAGATAGGTAGAGGCATCTCAGAGAATTCACACAAGATGTTGTAGCAAGTGAGTGATGTAACAACTCACTAAATAGACGGCTCTACTCAATCAACAAGCCTAATCTAATATTACATATCAGCATAGGGCTACAAATGGTCACAACATTAACCCACTATTTGGTGGAGATTAAAATTAGATTTTTAGTAGATTTTGATAAAAAAAAAAAATTTAAATATGTTATTCAAAATTTGTGAAATTCATAAACAATATGATTAATATTGATTGTTTGACTTTGACTTCAATTAAAATCTAATTTAAATCAATACCAAACAGGGGCTAAATGCACTTGAGCCTAGATCTAACTGATTGATGTCTACGACAAGAGCCCCTAGCTACTAGGATGAGGTCATGTGTCTCCTCATCCAACGGTTCATACTCACCCTCTTCTACTATAAAAGCTCACACTCAGTGTCATTTCAAAGGTAATGCAAGTTTAAACTCTCAAACTATAACTTTGCTATATCATTATTTTACTATTTACTCCCCAAAATAGACCCTCTTTTTACATTGGAGGTTCACGTCTAAAGTTCTCCCACACTCATATATCTATTTCTCCAAATGACTTGACTGTCAGAGTGCGCGCGGCCAACTACACCCATTGAGAAGGCCATATATGTCTAACAGTTTGTCCAAGTGTGCAAGAATACGGCTTGCAAGAGGTCTTGGATTTGTTGGCCATGTTGAAGGTACACTTTTTGAGGTGAACATTAGATATAATAATTCCGATAAACTGAAATGGGTTGTTGCATAAAAACAAACAAACTATAATGATATGGACATAACATTAGCAATTATAACACAATACATTTTGCACTAGATATAGTTTTAATCCTAGTAGTAAAGGTTGAACTTAGTTCCATTTTGAAAGCCATACCTTTGATTTTGGGATAACTTTAACAGCCACATCCTGGCCCTTCAAGCTATCCCTTTTTCCCTTAGCTGAACAAGTGTACCCAAAATGACCCCTTCCCACCTCTTCCCCAAGCACAAAGTGCTTGGTGAAATTCTTGGAGAACCCAAAATTCTTGTCCAACCCAATAATCTCACACTCACTCCCTTCAGGTATAGTAGCCTCATTAGGCTTCATGGAGCCATGTCGCCTTGTGAGCAAGGCCTTAATATGCTTAGCTGGTGATGGTGGTGGGAATGGCCGCTTAAGGAATCGCAAAGGGGTTGAAGGGACACTGCTAGAGTATGCAGGGGAATTCTTGAATGCACTGTGCAGTGGACTTGGGCTGAAAAAAGGGAACTTGGGTGTCTTCCCAGTTGAAGAATTGAGCGGAGGCTCATTGTTTTCACCTGGGAGATTTTCAGAGAAATTTTTTGGGGGCTCAAAGGGTTTTCCATGACAAAGTCCCATGGAATGAAGAACCCAATTGTAAGAAGATTCAAAAAAATAAGTGAAAACCAATCAAGCGGCGAAAAAGTAAAAAACAGAGGAGATTAAACCAATTGAAGCGACGAGAAATTCAAATTCCAGGGAATTTGAAGTTCAAGAAATCGAAAAAGTACAAGAAAAAATCAATGCAAATAATAATATTTTGAAAGTTCGAATCTTCTTACGGAAACTAAAGAAAAACGAGATTTTTTTAGGTTGATTAGCAGAACCCAGAAAGGAAACAAAAGAATTTCCAAATGCAATGAACTTCCAAGGCAAAACCCAGAGTAAAAAGAAATACAAGAAGGGAAAGGATGAAAAATCAAGAACAAAGAAAAAGATAGAACTTTCCGATGTAATAATCAATGTCAAAGATTTCGGAGGGAAAAAAACAAGAATCAGAAGAAAAACTAACTAGTTTCAGCTGAAGAAGTGGATAGAAATAGGATTTCTGGAATCACTCAATCCAAACAAGAAAAGAGAAGCGTGAAAAAAAAAATTTACTACATCAACAACAAGGTAAAGAAATGGGACTGAATAAAAAGCAGAAAAGTAAGAAAAAGATGCTTATTGCAAGAAAAGAGCAGTGACTGGGAAAACGGGAAGGAACCAAACCTTTTCTTTTCCATCTTTTTCTAGAGAAAAATGGCTTTTGGTCCCCCAACCTATTCTCGATTTAAGCCTATTATTATATTTGTACAATCAATTCTTGTTAACTTGTTATACGAAACTCTCGTGTCCAGATTCATGAGGATTTTTCAACCTGATATAGTATCTAATAGTTCGAATTAATACTTGAACTTATAAGAGCATGTAACTAATAAAAGAAGATCTAAAAACTTCCCATCATGGATTATATATCTACAACAACAGGTTGAGATTTTAACTTGCTCAATTTCAAATGTAAGAGAATATTGAATTCAAACATGTTGTCCTAAAATTTGTATCCTTCAATACATATTCAACAATTGGATGCATCAGTCATATCTTTTTTAACAAATGGAAAGAAATCGAAATATATTTAACGAAGTATAAAAAATGTATTGACGAGAAAATCAAGCTAACGACAAGTTTCGAATAATTGATCTTAACTCGAGATTAACTCGTCACTCGAACAATATCGTAGAGACACTACTATTAATTGTTAATAATGGTGGTGAGAATTAAGGTTTGGATTCTCCAACCTGTCTTTTCTTGCACCGTACAGAATTTTCATATGTATGTAAACATCAATTGCAAACAGCTAAGCTTAATTAACATGATCTATGTGGTTTGACGTTTGACCAACTTTTTTTAGATTTTCGACTTTGAATTTTTGGAGTTCTCTAAAGAATTGAATATTAAACTTTTGTTATTGAGAAAAAATACGTATAAATATTATTTGTTATGATATCCAATTCAATCATTTATTGTGTACTATGTAGTAATGCACACTAAGGGCCAAAGTGATATATATATATATATATATATATATATATATATATATGATTTCCTTTTTTACCTCGAGCTGCTCATGTAACCTTCTCTGCGTTTCAATTTGCAATTGTATTGCTTCACTTAAAGGTAAATTTCTGGATATAAGGCAGAAAGCTAACAACATTGTCAGTTGAATTGTGATTAAAATATACGAGTTACAAAGGAAAATTATAACGTTTTTCATACTCATTTGTTCGGTTGACCATGCTTGGATGAGACATATGAGTTCCATTTGTATCAGGCATCCTTTCTCCTGTAACTGCAGAGGTACTTGACTCAGTAAGTTACATACACTTTTCTCATTAATAGCTAGAATCTTTTAGTAGTTTTCTGGTAGTTACCGGACTTGTTACCAGCTTTGTTGATCCCACTATTAGCCTGTCCTTGGAGGTTTTTACTGAGTCTGTATTTCTGCCAACAGACATATAGAAGGTTGAGAACACGTTTTATCTATATGTTTCTAAATGAAACACACATGCACGCTGAGTGAAAGAATACATGCATATCTACATATGCACGGAGTACTTTTCCTGTCATTGAGAAAGGAGGTTTTATAGTTTACTAATGCTTTATTTTTAGCAGCTTTCTTAAGGGTTTGTGGGAATTTAAAGTGGGGATTGTGTGATGTAACTGAAAAACCTGGCTGCTTATTTGAAACGGTTTAGTTGGAAACTAAGTTGCGCATAGAATTGGCAATAATGAATGCACCTGAAGGTGACTCTTCAAGTGGTATAAGGTTAGTCCTTGAATTCCCATAAGTTTCAAGACTGATTTTGGAGTAGCTTCTGCAACAGAACAAATCATATTGAATAGATGAATACAGTAGCAGTTTATTGGGGCTTCGTGAGCTTGACATGTTGTATGCACTTACTATCTGCTCCGCCAAGTTGATTAACTGCCTCTATGAATCGCTCATGGAGGTCCAGAGTCCATTTCAGTCTTGGCTTGGCATCAGTGGAAAGAACAAGTCCGGAATCTCCGGTGCCATTTGCACCTTGGTGGAACAGGTGCCTTTCAGGTGGAGTGAACATTCTTGCAGATGGGTGAAGATTTTTTCCTTGGTGGTGGTGGTGATACATTTTGTTGTCTTCATCATGTGTTCGAAACAAATTAACTTCATATTAAGAGTGAAAGGATAAGATCTATGTGGTTGTGAACAAATAATATATGTACCTGAAATGGTAAAAGGCTCCCGTTTCAATCAGCTATCGCCCACCCTTATATGAGAATTATGATTCTGCTATATTCAATTCTGCATTCCTGATACTTTGGTGGTAAACAGATGTTGTCTACTACAACCCTTATCTATTTCTTGTTTTCTCTGATCAATTTTCACGTTCTAAAGCTGTGCTCAGGGATGTCTTATAAGTAAATGAGGAGAGGTGGGGTTACAAGTGAGGCATAGAATATTGGACAGGGCCAACAAAACATTAGATCTAATCCAATCTTCACAGCGACTCAAAAAGAGATCTTGCTCTTCCAATCTCACACATCTGTGGGTCCCCTCTCATGCAACTGCCCTTTCCATTCTCCGACAGCTGCACTGCCCACTTAAATTTCCTCTCACTATGAATCTTGACAAACTTGACACCTTACACTAGGTACAAGAATAGATCCACCCGAGTCTTTCTTTCCCTGTGCACTTATCTTTGTCATTTGTTAAATTTGAGGAACCATATTCCCAGAATGAATGGTGGAATTTTTTGTTCTGATGTTTATTGGAGGAATCCACTATAGACGATGTCTCGAAACCTTCAAAGCCTTTATTTTTTACCAAAGAAGATTCTGTTGACTGGAATGTAATATAGCATTATAGCACGCACACAAAAAAGAAGGTGGTGAGAGTGTGAGACGGAGAATATATGCTTCATCTCATGGTAGTTGGAATGGCAAGTTTGGGTAACAAATATTCTTCCCTTTTATTTCCCTCAATTTTTATTTAATTTAATAACAGCTATGGTGTATTCTAAAAATAAGGCGAGGGTGCAATTCCTTGGATGTCCTTTCATCTTGATCTCTAGTCTGATTTACAAAAAGATCTTAGTTATTTGGAGTGCACGGTTTCTTTGTATAATATTTGCCTCAAAAAGTTTTACTGCATTCCCTTTTTCCTTTTCTGGACTGCATATCTCTAAGGCAGCCTTAGAGAAATGTGGTAATTGGATTGTTGTATTTTTCCTGTATCTCTTCTATACACAATCACACACTTGTGGTTAAGTGTGAGATGTAGCGTTTCCAGTGCACGCTAGAGATTCTTTTAGTTATGGAATTTTTTCACGGAGAGATATTACTACTGTGTTCTACAGTTTTTTTCTGAAGTTTCACTGTAACCACTTACTGCATCTTCGATATACTGTCACTGAATTTCGTCGTGCACATTCTTCTTGTTATCTTAGTATTTATCTTTTTATGTCTAGTGAAATTTTTTTTAGTGTTCTTATAAAGGGGGAATCAATGCTTCTTCTTGGCTTTGTTTGAAGGCCAGGAATGGCATAACGAATGCATTCCTTTTTGTCTCCTTCTGTAAGTTTGGTACTTATTCAGCCTGAATGGAATTAATAAAGAGAGAAGATAGGTCCCAGTGAGATCTTTAAAATTCTTCAAATGGCATAAAGAATTGGACCCTTCAAAAGAAAATAAAATATTGTACTTACTTCTATACTTGCATCTAATAGAAAGCTTAACAAGTCATACCAAGAAGAGGACCACTGCCTTTCCCTGACTTGAGACTTCAATCTGCTTTGCAGATACTTGGACATAAATCTACATATTTTTTGCT